ATACATAAACAAACATATACATATCCCAAGTTTTACAAGAAGCCCACAGCTTTGTAGAGGGCCCGAAGCAGCACTTCACCCAAAAAAGAACATTCACAGCCCTCAAATCTTATAGAAAGCCCGGAACCCAAACTCCAAAATCCTAAACCCCAAACCCTTCGGACCTTAAGCAACTAGGTTCTCTACCTAAATGTTGCAACGGTAAACCTGTAAACCCCAAGCCCCGACAACACCAAACCCAAACATCTTATAAACCCAAAGCATTCCCACACCAAAACTTCTCCCACAACCGATTGAACACCAGGCCCTATAAAGACACTAAAAACCACACGTGTGCCAGGTACCTTGTCCGAGGAGGCCTGTGGAGTCGGGGTCGGGTGTGTTTTGGTGTTCGGCCGGTATTTGGAGCTTTCGGGGTTTTGCCTGTCTTCGTGCCGTGCTGCTTGTGTCGTGCCACACCCACAGACCCACCATGTGTGTGCCAGGTGAGACCTTGCGAACCAGGTGGCACAGGCTCGAGTGCAGTTTTGCCAACCCTGAGGGTACCGAAGCTTGTTCCTGGAGTGTGCATGTGTGTACCAGAAATCTCAAGAGTTTTTCACAGGAGAGCCGAGGTAGCAGCACAAAGAAGCCAGAGACAGCACACCCACCCACCCGAGACACACAAAAAAAACAACAGAGACACAAGCAAAATCATGTGAGGGCACGACGGTGTCAACCGAAGTTTGGTCGAAGTTTCGACCAAACTTCGATCGAAGTTTGGTCGCAGTTTGGTCGGAGTTTGAGAAACTTCGACATGCCTGGNNCGAAACTTCGACCAAACTTCGGTTGGGACCGTCGAAATTTCGACCAAACTTCGTTCAAACTTCGACTTGTTCGGCTGTCGTTTCGGCAGGTTTTTTGGCAAGGCAGTTTCGAAATCAATGGCTGAATTGTCTACGAACATTGATCCGTGTCGCTTCCCGAACACAAGGATTGTGAGGAGAGCACAGTAATACATCAATGCAGTGGCCCAAGGGCAAGGGTTCAAATTGTGTTTGTGTGTGCCGGGGAGTGAGTGATTGCTGTGGATTGCAACAACAGAGGTGCAGGTGATTGTAGGGTTTATACAATCCAAGGGCAGTGGTTTCCAGGTTTTAGCACAGGGTTCAACTTCTGTGTACCGGAGAGAGTGAAGGCTGTGGTGCAGCTCGAAGTGCTTTGTGCAGGGAAGCTCAGACGTGCACTGTCTACCTATGTGTCTGCTGCCGTTTTTAGTGCTTTTGTTTGTGTGAGCGACGTTCTAGCTTGGAAGCTTTTCGCTTTGCCTGTGCAGTGCCATGAAGAAGCCGGCAGCTGCAGTCTTGAAGTCCTCCCAGGGCAACAAGCCTGTGAAGAAGGATGCTGAGCCGAAGAAGGGCACGAAGAGCGGCCCCCTCAACAGCCAGCTGGCTACTTGGGAGAAGGGTGTCTCGTCCGAGGAGTCGGGCAGAGACAAGGGCAAGGGCGAGAAGTGGTCCAAACTGGTTGCCCAAGGCGGCATCGAGCCCCACATCATCGATTTGTACCAGAATCCACCAAAGGATCAGCCGAAGCGGAAGTTTCGTACGGACTTGATCAACCGCTATTTCGTTCGCCAGGGGGACGGAAGCTTGTTGGTCAATGCTTCGGACTCTTGGTTCTCCCAGGCGAAGAGTGTGTATGAGGATAGACACAAGACCAACCGCGACAACCTGACCACCAGACTCGTTTTCATCGGCCGCAACTTTCAGAATGATGAAAAGGCATTTGAAAGAGCTGTTGAAAGTGGCGAGGTCCTCGAGGTTGAGGAGGACGGGGTGAAGTACTACGGGTACAAGCAGATGATCAAGTCCGTGAAGAAGGGTGCCAGAGAGAGCATGGATTTCAAAGCCGAGAAGCCCATGTCCAAGAACGATGTCAAGGCCATTGCTGACCTCTTTAGTGAGTTGAAGTGGAAGTATGTGCCCAGCATTCAGGATCGCAAGAAGCTCGATGTGGACGGCAAGCTGCCCGACTCAGCTGAGAAGCTGTTGCAGCAAGCCATCGCTACACAGGACAAGATGTGCAAGACGGCCATGGCGATGCTGAAGAGCACCCTTGCCATCCCCGACAACCTGTGCAAGTCCCTCAAGAGTGGTTATGGCACGGCCCAGAAGCACATTACGTGGCTCCAGCATGTGAAGTCTTTCCACGAGCTCCCCGATTCGCAGACAAAGCTCAATGTGCAGGTTTTGGACAACTACATGTACAATGTCGCGACAGACACGAAGAAGTTCAACGATGATATTCACCAGGTTCAGGGGCTGCAGAAGGCCAAGCAAGCCTAGGCTTTTGCACGTAAGATGTACAAAGCCACGATCGATTTTGACTGGGTTCGGGGGAACACACACACACGTGGATCACCTTTCGTAGGCCACAGGGAGCTATAGCGGTATGGAGTTTTGTTGACTTGACCACCCACATCTCCCAAACCATTGCACCCTGGCCTCCTAAACCCCCAAAACAAAAGATCCTTGATAACAGTATGGACTTTTGGAGCCTCTAGCACGAAACCTAAAAAATCCGTGCTAACAGTATGGACTTTTTAGACTCTGACCACCCAAATCCCCCAATCATGGCGCTTTTGTATGCCGAAACCCCTAAAACATAAAATCCTTGATAGCAGTATGGACTTTGGGAGCCTCTATATCACCAAACCTAAAAAATCCGTGCTAACAGTATGGAGTTTTGTTGACTTGACCACCCACATCTCCCAAACCATTGCACCCTGGCCTCCTAAACCCCCAAAACAAAAGATCCTTGATAACAGTATGGACTTTTGGAGCCTCTAGCACGAAACCTAAAAAATCCGTGCTAACAGTATGGACTTTTGTAGACTCTGACCACCCACATCCCCCAAGCATAGCACCACGGTATACCCAAACCCCCAAAACACAAAATCCTTCATAGCAGTATGGACTTGTGGAGCCTCTATAGCACCGAATCAAAAAATCCGTGCTAACAGTATGGCCCTAGAGACCCCAACTTCCAAACCCGTGGTGGCAGGAGAGGTGTTGTGTGTGTGTGTGCATCCTAACGGATGAGAGCTTTGCACACGTGCTGCCGTTTGCTCTGTTGCCGAGACTGCAAAAGCCCACGGAGAAGGAAAGAGAATGCACACACGTGTCACGTTTGCGGTGTTGGCTGCTGTTGCATTCATTCTTTGCTTTCGCTATGCAGACTGGCAGGAGCATCGTATGGACATTCGCCGGAACCCCGGCGAATTCGCCGGAACCCCGGCCACGACATGAGCTCAAAGTCAGGCTTTTGTGTCATGTAAGAATATCTCCAAGCTTGTGTACCCTAGCACCGTTTTTTGGTGTAACACATCCTGTTTATTCTGACTGCCTATACAACTCCCAAAAGCGCCAAAAAGCCCCACATTCCCCAATCATTGCACCACGGTCTACCTAAACCTAAACATCCGTGCTACCAGTATGGAGTTTTTAGACATCCCCCAATCATGGCACCACGGTCTATACCTAATTCCCCGAAAACAAAAGATCCTTCATAACAGTATGGACTTTGGGAGCCTCTAGCACGAAACCTAGAAACTCCGTGCTAACAGTATGGATATAGATATACTGAGTTCGGATGTACATAAACAAACTCCGTAGACCTCGGCCCTAAACCCTCAAGCACAGCAGAGACCCTGCATTCATTAGCAAAGATTCTTAAAACAACCAGTATAATTACATACACTTCCAATTTGAGATGTGACTATATGTTACAGCTACAATCTGCCTAAACCAGCGGCCCCTGAAAATCGGCGAGGATTGTTTGCAGAAAGCTTGTGGTTGCAACACATGGCCGACCATGCAGGCGGACTCGTTGTGGCTTCTGATGGAACCCTCAAGGTTGTATGATGCTCTCAAAGTATAAACAGCCCAGAGGCCGTAGCTACAGTCAGTGCTCTCAAGGTTTTGCAACAGCTCTCACAAGGTACACTCGAGGTTTGCAAGAGGTCGCTCAAGGTACACTCCATGGTTTTGGCATCGCTCTCAAGGTACACTCCGAGGTTTTGCCACAGAGCTTTCAAGGTATATCCTCCAAGGTTTTGGCACTGCTCTTAAGGTACACTCGTTGGTTGGGCTCTCAAGGTATACCCTCCAAGGTTTTGGCACTGCTCTCAAGGTACTCTAAACCTAAACCCTAAACCCTAAACCCTAAAAACCCTAAACACCCTAAAAACCCTAAAAACCCTAAACCCTAAACCCTAAACCCTAAACTAAACACCTCACAACCGTTAAAGACCCTATATAAAGCTCTCAAGGTTGCAACCAGTTCTCGGGGCAATGTCGAAGACCCATTCTCGACCCGGTATAACCTTTCTGACCCCAAAGTTCTTCTGCTTTCCAACGAGCCTTTGAAGTGTGGTTATGGCCCTGAATCACACAGCCCAACTGGACCAAATGTAAACAGCCACATATGGCCTGAGGGTATTGGCAAAAGGGTATTTTCGTTGGGATTTCTGCCGGCTTCGGATGCACAGGTTTCAGTTTGCTTCGTGAGTGTGGCCGTTTGCCAAGCCTTGCACCACAGCTGCCCTCCAACCTTTACCCTGAACCCCATATAAACCCTAAACCCTAAACCCTAAACCCTAATCCCTAAACCTTAAACCTAAACCCTAAACCCTCCACCTGCATCTCGTACAACTTGTTTGAAGCTACAAAAACCCGCCTTTCGCAGAACCCTGAACGTGCAAGCCTCGACCTACTCGGCCTGACAAGCGAGTACTCTAGACTCTAGAAGTTGTTGGCAAGTTCATGCCACATGGCGCCGAAAAAGCGAAAAGGTGGTGTGAGACAAAGACAAGCAGAGGCTGAAGAAGAAGTGGAAGCTGCAACGGGACAGAGTCAGCTTTCAAAGCTCCTGCTGTCGAAGTTTGCATGGGGCGAGTTATCGCCACAAGCTGTGCAGCAGATCGCTGCAGCTGCAGCTACGGATATGGAAACCGTGGCCGATGGAAAGTGTATGCCGGATCTGCGAGCTCTGGCGGCCATAGGATCGAATGGAGCACAAGTTCAGAATTCTTTTCGCGACCTGATGCGAAAGCTGGAGACCAATGTTAGGTTGCCAGATGCTTACACGGCACAGGTTCCCTTCAAGAAGATCGGCGATGCTACTCAGCACTTTTTACTTCCCCACGAGCTGTTCGCTTCAATGCATAAAGACTTTCCGAATGCTTTCGCACACTCTATGATGCCGAACCCCGGTGACGTGCCAGACTTTTGGGAGGCAGTGCAGTCGCACCCTCAGATGCTGCGACACCCTGTCAAAGACCGGGATGACTATCGGACTCGATGTATTCCGGTGGCACTTCACGGTGATGACGTGCCGATCCATGGACTGGGCAAGGGATACACGTCGAAGTTAACAGTCTTCAGCTGGGGCAGTTTATTGGCTATGGAAAGAAGCACGAAAGAGAAGCTCTTCATGACATACTGCACTTTCGAGAAAGTCCGAACAAAGGGCACCATCGAAGCCTGGATGAAGCTGCTTGCTTGGTCGCTCTTCTGGCTGTTCTGGGGAGTGTGGCCGGACAGCGACCCCGAAGGAGTTCCGTAACTGGGTGTCTCTGTGTGTGTTTTTTAAGAGAGTATATTTGCTAAGAAGGGTATCATATTCCAAAGTTTATTTATGTTTATAGGTGAACGGTGTGTTTTGGTTACTTTCAGTTCTGAATTCTGTAGTAGGATTTTCTAGGCAGCCCTCTAATAAAAAGACCTGTGTAATACACACAACCCTAGACCCTCAACCTGACACCTCCGCCCCCCCCTGAAAAAAAAAACAACACACAGCAAGGTACCCTGCCGGTTCCCCGGAGCATGCACGAGCACGCACTCCACTGGCTGGCGGCTTCTATGCTGTCTTATGGGGCTTGCTCGGCGACCTTGACTACTTTAATATCATCCTGCAATTACCTCACTTTGCAAAAGCCTCCAACTTTTGCCCTCTTTGTAGGGCCACGACAGTTGGCGAGAACACTTGGTGCAACTTCCGAGATGATGCACCCTGGCGACAGACCCTCTGGCAGTCACACACGTGGCGGGCTTGGTCGGGCCGTTCGAGGTCTCCTTTCTTCAGCCTTTTTTATACTAGTGCACTTACAGTTTCGCTTGACTATCTTCATTGCAAATATCTCGGAAGCGATCAATACCAGTTCGGAGCGGTGCTGGAGGTGCTGGTACGTTTCGTGCTCCCTGGGGCTCCAGATGCAAATCTGGAGCGGGTCTGGGAGGCCCTGCAGGAGGCATACCGTGCACTCCGCACTCCCTTGCAATCGAGGTATCGCTACATCAACAAGCTGAGCATGTTCATCCGCAAAGGCTACAGCAAATTACGAGGAAAAGGAGGCGAAATCAAGCACCTCGGCTTTGCTTTGACCCTTGTTTTCAAGAAGTTTATGAATGCTGGTTTGCGAATCCACCGCGAAATCCTGTATATGCTGCAGTCGAACAATACCATGGAACGTTTGCTCTCGGAGAACCGCACCCGCTGGTCATTTGATGCTGAGTCTGCAGCGAAATTCGCCAATGCTTGCTCTGAGATGTTGTCGCTACAAGCACGAATCGCCCGCCACTTTGCTGAGTCTGGGGAGCAGCTGTTCGATATGACACCGAAGTGTCATTTTTTACAACATCTTGCAATCATGTCCAATGGAATCAGTCCGAGAGTGACCTGGTGTTGGGCAGGGGAGGACTTCATGCATCGAACACAGGTCCTCGCACAGAGTTCTTCTCGAGGCATCCACTGCACTCGTGTCATGGCGAAGATGATTCGGAAGTATCGCATAGCCCTGACGATGCAGTTTGAGGAGCTGTGAAAATGAGTGTCTGTGTGTGTGTGTCTTTGTGAAGCCGAGCATGGCTCATCTAAGAGAGTATCTGTTGCAATCTGCCCCTTTTTTGTCTTTTATCGGATTAGCAAACAGAAGCCGGTCGGCCTGTCTGAACCCAAGAAACCTTCCCAAGCCACAGCCTCACCCGAAAGACTGGACCCTAAACCCTAAAC